CATTTGTATTCCTCACGAGTGCCCCAAATAATGAGGTGATTTAATAAAGTGCTATGCCCAAGATTACCATCCGAGTGCCAGCGGGAAAGTGGTTCAAATAGCTTCAGCTATCACTTTCTTATGTCTGGTCAAGATGGTCAAGCAGATTAAGGCGTCCTGTAGTTACCAGTTGCGTTGTTCTTAGGAGTATGGGTTCGAGTCACTTCCGGGGTGTGAGTTTTCAGTCGCATATAGTCCTGGGGACCATTCAGGCTTTTGGGCATTTGTATTCCTCACGAGTGCCGCAAATAATGAGGTGATTTAATAAAATGCTATGCCCAAGATTACCAACCGAGTGCCAGCGGGGAAGTGGTTCAAATAGCTTCGGCTATCACTTCCTTATGTCCGATCGTGATGGTCAAGCAGATTAAGGCTTCCTGTAGTTAGCAGTTGTGTTGCTCCTGGGAGTATGGGTTCACTTCTGGGGCGTGAGTTTTTAGTTAACTTTACTGATTAACTTTACATCAGGAGTGACAGGAACACTATTCAATTTGTTAACTAAATCAAGAGAATTTGTCAAATGAGAAGAGGAGATAGTTCCTAACAAAGGGGACAAGATTTTGGTAAGCCATTTGGAGAGTTTGTAAGAAATGGATCCCACAGAACTGATGATAGGTCTCATGGGATTGTTAGGCTTATGCGTCTTGACAAGACCATATAGATATGGTAATGAAGGTGATGAATTCTCTTGATTTAGTTAACAAATTGAATAGTGTTCCTGTCACTCCTGATGTAAAGTTAATCAGTTTTGACGTTTGTTCCTTGTTCACTAAGGTACCGGTCGATGATATTCTCGATTATCTTGCTCGTGAACTAATGAGCCATGACTTACCTCTTTCTGCTGATATTATTGTCAGTCTTGTTAAGTTGTGCATTAAAGAATGTAAATTTACCTTTAATAATGAGTATTATTTACAGACTTTTGGAATGGCAATGGGGAATCCTCTATCGCCATTGCTCTCAAACCTGTACATGGAATTCTTTGAAAAGAAATTTGTTTCAAAAATAACTCCTGGAATCATTCCTTGGTTTAGATATGTTGATGATATCTTGTGTATTTGGCCTTCAGATGTAAACACAGACGAATTTGTAGCCAAACTTAATGACCAAGTCACCTCCATAAAATTTACTATGGAGACTGAAATTGATAAATGTTTGCCATTCTTAGATGTGCTTATTCATAGGGAAAACTCTTCATTAAAGTTTAGTGTTTACAGAAAACCTACGAACAATTTATCTTATGTTCATTATTTTTCAGGGCATAAATACAATGTAAAAAAGTCAATTTTTTCTTCAATGTATCTAAGAGCTCTTCGAGTTGTGAGTCCAGAATTCTTAGATGAAGAATTTAAGAATATTGATTCGGTTGGTCTTAAGCTTTGTTACCCACTGAATTTTTTGGAAGTTTGTCGTAACAAAGCTCGTCGTACATATTATAATAATGTATGCAGTGAAAGGATTCGCCCAAAGAATGTGTTATGTTTACCATATTTCTCTGGATATATAATATATATATATATATATATATATATATATATATATATATATATATATATATATATATATATATATATATATATATATATATATATATATATATATATATATATATATATATATTATTAAATATGACCGAAAAAGTAAGATTAATAATTTTGTAACACGAATTTTCTCAATCTTTCGTACATTTCTTTTCACTGTTGGAGGTAATTCAAAAATCAATTCTCCAAAATTCATTTTTATTTCTAGTCTGACGCGACACTTGAGCGCGTTTCGTAAAACTTATTACATTTTCAAAGACTTTAGTTAACACATACACAACTGAATAGAACTTACACATCTCCGATTTTGTTTATATCTACTTTTGAGTGAGGTGGATGGGGTGAGGTGGTATTTAATAAGGTATTAATTTCATCAACACAAGCCAGAACATGAAACGAAGCAATGGGTATTGAATAGAAGTGATTGCAGAAAGCCTATTGGTCCATATTTCTTGATGCTTCTATATTGGAGCGGAGTCTTGAGGTGGGTAGAATATAGTTGTGCATTAATTGGCTGTTGATTGCTGGTGTTGACTTCTTGATGTGTAATGCCTCGCAAACGTCAAGCCGCCTGCTATCGCTGTATCTATCGATGATTTCTGTGTTGTTTACTAGGATTTCTCTGGCGATGGTTTGGTTGTGGGAAGAGATTATATGTTCCTTAATGGAGCCCTGTTGCTTATGCATCGTTAAACGCCTAGAAAGAGATGTTGTTGTCTTGCCTATATACTGGGTTTTTTGGAGCTTACAGTCCCCAAGAGAGCATTTGAAGGCATAGACGACGTTAGTCTCTTTTAAAGCGTTCTGTTTTGTGTCTGGAGAGTTTCTCATGAGTAGGCTGGCCGTTTTTCTGGTTTTATAGTAAATCGTTGTTATACTTTTAATTCTGACTTATAAAACGTCAGAATTACCTCCAACAGTGAAAAGAAATGTACGAAAGATTGAGAAAATTCGTGTTAGAATTATTAATCTTACTTTTTCGGTCATATTTAATAATATATGTCTACAGGAAAGTAGACATATATGTCTACATATAAAGTAGACAAAGTAGAAAATGTAATAAGTTATTACGAAACGCATTCAAGTGTCGCGTCAGACTAAAAATAAAAAGGAATTTTGGAGAATTGATTTTTTAATTGCCATCGACAGTATAAATAAACATAAGAAATATTGAGCAAATTCGTGTTAGCATTATTAATTTTACTTTTTCGTTCATATATAATAACATATATATATGACCTGAATGTCCCCAAGCATATATGGGACTGAAAACTCCACTTCCCAGAAGTGACTTGAACCCAGTCCACCAGGAGCACAATGCAAGTGGAGTACATGGTACCTTAACCGCTTGACCATCAATGATCGTACAAAAGACGATGGTAGCCGAGGTTAATTCCCTATCGCCCCGACGGCACTTTGATGGTAATCTTGAGTATAGTTACTTCATCAAATCCCCCTCATTTTGTGGGGGTCACGTGAGCAACACAAATGCTCACACGAGCAACACGATGGTAGCCTCGGCTGCCATCGTCTTTTGTACGGTCACTGATGGTGAAGCTTTGATGGTCAAGCATACATGTTCCAAGATTGCTCTAGTGTTCATACATGTTCCAAGATTGCTCTAGTGTTCATACATGTTCCAAGATTGCTCTAGTGTTCATACATGTTCCAAGATTGCTCTAGTGTTCATACATGTTCCAAGATTGCTCGAGTGTTCATACATGTTCCAAGATTGCTCTAGTGTTCATACATGTTCCAAGATTGCTCTAGTGTTCATACATGTTCCAAGATTGCTCTAGTGTTCATACATGTTCCAAGATTGCTCTAGTGTTCATACATGTTCCAAGATTGCTCGAGTGTTCATACATGTTCCAAGATTGCTCTAGTGTTCATACATGTTCCAAGATTGCTCTAGTGTTCATACATGTTCCAAGATTGCTCTAGTGTTCATACATGTTCCAAGATTGCTCGAGTGTTCATACATGTTCCAAGATTGCTCTAGTGTTCATACAGTGTTCATACATGTTCCAAGATTGCTCTAGTGTTCATACATGTTCCAAGATTGCTCGAGTGTTCATACATGTTCCAAGATTGCTCTAGTGTTCATACATGTTCCAAGATTGCTCGAGTGTTCCAATATTGCTCTAGTGTTCATACATGTTCCAAGATTGCTCTAGTGTTCATACATGTTCCAAGATTGCTCGAGTGTTTATACATATTCCAAGATTGCTCGAGTGTTCATACATGTTCCAAGATTGATGTAGTGTATACATATGTTAAAATGTTGTTAATGTGTGTATATATTGCAAAGTTTCTCTTGTTAATCTATAGATCATCAATTTCGCTATACATATTAGAGCAAGGGTGACCAAACTGGCTTAATGTAAGAGCCACAAATGCTAAAGCTCAGATGTCTGTGATCCGGACGACTTGGACAAAATGAACACTTACATTTCTACTAGACATACTCATATTGTTACAACAGAATTATAAATTAGAAAAAATGCCTATTAAATGCAATAATATCATGCATGCGGTTCTTAAACTGTTAATTTGTATTAGTTTAATTAATCACAACGACATAAATATGTACAAAATAAAGTAAACCCCAAAATTAGAGATATTTGATGTAACAAAACTGGCTTCAGTCGTTGCATTGTTATTGTTCCATCCTGAATAATGTCAACAGTGTCATTGGTGATATGTACTCATTTTTCCTTATTTTTGATTTAGGTGGGTAATTATACGAAAGGTTTTTGTGATTAGTTTCATAGTGGCGTCTCAAGTTACTGGCTCTATATAATGTCTGTGTGCCACTTTGCAGATAAAACACAAAGGCTTACCTCTTTTAACTGTGAATGTAAACCCTTCCTCCCACTCTGGCTGAAAATTTATGTTTTCATCTTTATATTTTCGTTTCTCAGAATTTGTTGAAGCCATCTTCCTTCCGAAGTTTTCACGGACACTTTAAATAAGATTCATATATGAAGTGTACCAGTATAGTCTGCACATTGCACCTTCTGCACTTATATTGAACTCCCTTCCCTAGGCATCGGAATTATTTATATTGGTGCACGTTTCTTGCTCTGGATTCAGGCAGAAGGTCTCTGATTCAAGATTCCAAATTTCAAAAATATTGGAATTCTGTACAACTTATCACGAGCCGCATATTAAAGATCAAAGAGCCGCATGTGGCTGGCGAGTCGCGATTTGGCCACCCCTTTACTACAGCATCCTTGGAACAGTAGAGATAAAAAATGGCACGAGAATGCCGGCTTGGAAGCCTTGCTCTAAAATCCTAAAGTTGGCAATGCAACAGGCTAATTATTATTATTTATCAAATCAATTTACTCTTCTTCAGCCAACCAATTCATACCACACCTTCATTCTGCTAACCTTTTGTCTCATCCTTTTCCACAGACTCTCCCTCTCTCCCACTTACTCCTTTCCTGCAAAACATTAACTCCCACTATCTTGCAGGACCTGATTCTAGCAGTTTTTGACAATGACCATGAGAGGATTTTGGCAGCACTCGCCAATGGTGCGGATGCCAGCTTCCGCGCCATTGACAGTGAGGATGAGGATGAGGATGAGGATGAGGATGAGGATGATGATGAGGATGAGGATGAGGATGATGATGAGGATGAAGATGAGGATGAGGACGACAAGACTATCTGCCTGGATGAGGACGAGAAGACTTTTTGCTTGTTGGCCTGGGCAGCCTATGAGGGTCACGCTAACCTGGTGCGAACCCTAATAGAGTTTGGACTACCAGTGGATGGTGCAGGAGAGTGCCCTATTACACCTTTACAGTGCGCAGTCAGTCGGGGCCACGTCCAAGTGGTGAGGGAGTTGCTTAGTCATGGAGCCAGTCTGGAGGCTAAGGATAAGAGAGGTGAGTCATAATATTTGATGAGTAAGTGTGTGCGTGATCGTGCGTGTGCATCGTTCAGTGTGTTTGCTTGTGCTCTCGAGTGTGCGTATACTTGGTTGTGTGTTGTTTGTATTTCCTCTTGCGCCGCAAGCAATTATGTATATGTTTTGAATCAAGAGTTGTGGATAGTATGCTAAATGTTACTATGACCGATTATATATATATGGGTGTTTGTGTTTTCGACTCCAGACGTTAAAATGTCTGGGTTAGTGGACACGTTTTTCAGTTGTGTTTTGCGTGTGATGGTTGGTGTGTGATAGTTTGTGTGTGATTCTTTGCGTGTGATTGTTATGTGCTTCTGGTACACCTTTTATTTGAATTTAATTACTGGTAATATCAGTTTTATTGTGAGAATTATTGATATGGGTCATTAAGAAGCTGACTGGATCTTAAACGGTATTAATTATTGGTATGTTAAACATTGCCTCATATTGTTCGTTATTGGTGTGTTAAACATTGCCTCATAATGTTCTTTATTGGTGTGTTAAACATAGCCTCATAGTGTTCTTTATTGGTGAGTTAAACATAGCCTCATAATGTTCTTTATTGGTGTGTAAAAAAGTAGCTTGGTAATGTTCTTTATTGGTGTGTTAAACTTTGCCTCATAATGTTCTTTATTGGTGAGTTAAACATAGCCTCATAATGTTCTTTATTGGTGTGTTAAATATAGCCTCATAATGTTCTTTATTGGTGTGTTAAACATAGCTTCATAATGTTCTTTATTGATGTGTTAAACATACCCTCATAATGTTCGTTATTGGGGTGTTAAACAGAACCTCAAAATGATATTTATTGGTGTGTTAAACATAGCCTCATAATGCTGTTTTTAGGTGTGTTAAACAGACCCTCATCGTGATCGATATTGGTTTGTTAAGTATAGCCTCAAATTGATCTTTATTGGTGTGTGTTAAACATGGCTTCATAAAGTTATTTATTGTTGTGTTAAACATAACATAATGTTTTTTATTGATGTGTTAAACATAACCTCATAATGTTCTTTATTGATGTGTTAAACATAGCCTCATGATGTTCTTTATTGGTGTGTTAAACAGAACCTCACAATGTCCTTTTTTGCTGTGTTAAACAGAGCATAATAATGTTTTTTATTGGTGTGTTAAACATAGCTTCACAACGTTCGTTATTGGTGTGTTAATCTTAGCCTCATAATGATCTTTATTGGGTTGTTAAACAGAGCCTCATAATGTTTTTTATTGGTGAGTTAAACATAGCCTTATAATGATCTTTATTGGTTTGTTAAACATTGCCTCATAATGTTCTTTATTAGTGTGTTAAACATAACCTCATAATGCAGACGATGAGTCACAATAACGTCGCTGAAGTATGTTGACCAGACCACACACTAGAAAGTGAATTCGACGACGACGTTTCGGTCTGTCCTAGACCATAATGTTCTTTATTGGTGTGTTAAACAGTGTTTCATAATGTTTTTTTTTTGATGTGTTAAACATAGCTTCACAACGTTCCTTATTTGTGTGTTAAACTTAGCCTCGTAATGTTCTTTATTGGTGTGTTAAACAGAGCCTCATAATGTTCTTTATTAGTGAGTTAAACATAGCCTCATAATGTTCTTTATTGGTGTGTTAAACAGAGCTTCATAATGATATTTATTTGTATGTTAAACAAAGCCTCATAATGTTCTTTATTTGTGTGTTAAACAAAGCCTCATAATGTTCTTTATTTGTGCGTTAAACATAGCTTCATAATGTCCGTTATTGGTATGTTAAATAGAGCATCATAAGGATCTTTATTCGTGCATTAAACATAGCCTCATAATGTTCTTTATTGAAGTGTAAAACAGAGGATCATAATGATCTTTATTGGTGTGTTAAACAAAGCCTCATAATGATCTTTATTGGTGTGTTAAACATAGCCTCATAATGTTCTTTATTGGTGTGTGTTAAACATAGCCTCATATTGATCTTTGTTGGTGTGTTAAACAGAGCGTTAGTAGTTCGCAGATTGACAGGGCGAGACACCTGTTATCGCACCAGTTCTGATGTAATGGTTGTTGTTATCTGATGTGTTATCTTAGGAACATGCTTAGTGCATACATTAAGTGTACTTATCAGTACTTAATTGCTAATTAAATGCGATTATCAGTGATGGGCATCTGTGTTTGTGTTATGTAACCCTAGTTGTGCTTATCTGGGGTCCAGCTTCAGTTCATGGGCCCCTCCTCTCAGTGGATAAGTGTGCTTATCAGTACTTAATCGCTACTTAAATGTGATTATCAGTGATATGCAACAGTGTTTGAGTGGTGTAACACTAATTGTGCTTACTTGGGGTCGAGCTTTAGTTCTTGGGCCCCGCTTGGGCATCTGTGTTTGTGTGATGTAACCCCAATAGTGCTTTTATGTGGGGTCGAGCTTAAGTTCTTGGGCACCACCTCTCAGTGGATATGTGCGTGCGTGTGTGTAAGCTCACCTAGTTGCAGTGCTTACGTAGGGATGAGCTTCAGTTCTTGGGTCCCGCCTCTCAATGGAAGAATGTTTTTTGTGTGTGCGTGCGCACGTGTGCGTGTGTGTGAGCTCACCTAGTTGTCCTCACCTCGGTGTTTGAAGTGTGTAACCCTACTTTAGCTTACGTGGGAGGTTGAGTTTCAGTTCCTGGTCTCCGCCTGTCCAGTGGAAGAATGTGCGCGTGCGTGCACGTGTGTGGGTGTGTGTGCGAGCTCACATAGTTACTTGTGTTTGTTTGTGTGTGTGTGTGTGTGTAATTACCTAAGTGTAATTACCTAAGTGTAGTCACAGGATGAGAGCTACGCTCGTGGTGTCCCGTCTTCCCAGCACTCTTTGTCATATAACGCTTTGAAACTACTGACGGTCTTGGCCTCCACCACCTTCTCACCGTACTTGTTCCAACCGTCTACCACTCTGTTTGTGAAAATGAATTTTCTTATATTTCTTCGGCATCTGTGTTTAGCTAGTTTATATCTATGACCTCTTGTTCTTAAAGTTCCAGGTCTCAGGAAATCTTCCCTATCAATTTTATCAATTCCTGCTACTATTTTGTATGTAGTAATCATATCACCTCTTTTTCTTCTGTCTTCCAGTTTTGGCATATTTAATGCCTCTAACCGCTCCTCGTAGCTCTTGCCCTTCAGTTCTGGGAACCACTTAGTAGCATGTCTTTGTACCTTTTCCAGTTTGTTGATGTGCTTCTTAAGATATGGGCACCACACAACCGCTGCATATTCTAGCTTTGGCCTAACAAAAGTCGTGAACAATTTCTTTAGTATATCGCCATCCATGTATTTAAAAGCAATTCTGAAGTTAGAAAGCGTGGCATAGGCTCCTCGCACAATATTCTTTATGTGGTTCTTAGGTGATAATTTTCTATCTAGAACCACCCCTAGATCTCTTTCTTTATCAGAATTCTTTAAAGATTTCTCACATAATATATAGGTTATGTGGGATCTATGTTCTCCTATTCCACATTCCATAACATGGCATTTATTAACATTAAATTCCATTTGCCAAGTGGTGCTCCATATACTTATTTTGTCGAGGTCATCTTGAAGGGCATGACAATCATCTAAGTTTCTTATCCTTCCTATTATCTTAGCATCATCAGCAAACATGTTCATATAATTCTGTATACCAACTGGTAGATTATTTATGTAGACAATAAACATCACTGGTGCAAGAACTGAACCCTGTGGTACTCAACTTGTGACATTTCTCCAGTCCGATACATTGCCTCTGATCACTGCCCTCATTTTTCTATCAGTCAGAAAATTTTTCATCCATGTTAGAAGCTTACCTGTCACCCCTCCAATATTTTCCAGTTTCCAGAACAACCTCTTATGTGGAACTCTGTCGAAAGCCTGTTTTAGGTCCAGATAGATGCAGTCAACCCAACCATCTCTTTCCTGCAATATACAGTTGCTCGATCATAGAAACTGAGTAAATTCGATACACAGGATCTTCCAGATCGAAAACCATACTGTCTGTCTGATATTATATCATTTCTCTCCAGGTGTTCTACCCATTTAGTTTTAATTATTTTTTCCAATATTTTGACTATTACACTTGTCAATGATACCGGTCTATAATTAAGGGGGTCTTCCCTGTTTCCACTTTTGTAGATTGGAACTATGTTAGCCTTTTTCCACACATCAGCTACAACTCCTGCAAACAGGGATGCCTGAAAAATCAGTTGAAGAGGAATGCTGAGCTCAGGTGCACATTCTCTCAGAACCCATGGTGAAACTCCATCTGGACCAACTGCTTTGTTCCTATTTAGCTCCTTGAGCATTTTTTCCACTTCGTCTCTAGACACCTCTATGTGCTCTATGTTGTTCTCTGGAATTCTTATTGTATCTGGTTCCCTGAAGATTTCATTTTGTACAAACACACTTTGGAACTTTTCGTTTAATGTTTCACACATTTCCTTTTCATTTTCCGTGAATCTATTTCCCATTTTCAACCTCTGAATATTATCCTTTACCTGCAATTTGTTGTTTATGAATTTATAGAACAGACCTGGTTCTGTTTTACATTTGTCTGCAATCCCTTTTTCAAAATTTCTTTCTGCCTCTCTCCTCACTGCCGTGTAGTTGTTTCTCGCATCTTTGTATCGCTGGTATGTTTGTGGGTTCGGCCTCTTCCTGTATTGATTCCATTTTTGTGTCTTTTGGTCTCTGGCCCTCTCGCACTTTCTGTTGAACCAATCCTGTTTCCTAGTTCTGCTTCTCTGTTTTGGTATAAATTTTTTGGTGCCTTTATCATATATTTCACAAAACCTGACATACATCTCATTCACTTCCTTGTCTAGCAACAAGTCTGTCCAATTATACTCACTAAAAAAATTTCTAAGGTTGCCATAATGTCCTCTCCTAAAGTCAGGTTTTTCATTTGCATCGACCTTCATATTTTCTTCCAGATTATAACGCATTGCATACTTTATTCCCAAAAAGACATGGTCACTTTTACCCAAGG